CTGTCCTTTACCGAACCTCCGGCATTAAAAAATTCACATTTCGCCACTGGAATTCAATAAAAAATAGCGACCAATTAATGAAATAAAACTCTATGCTATAAACTAAGGTTATTCGTATGACTTACATATCTCACATTCGATCCCTTCGGCTTTGGTAATATTATTTATTCTTACGAGTGGTGTGTTTCCAATGTGATCGAGAATTGAATTGATAATTGGTGATTCGGGCTTGCTTTTGAATGCACACGCAATTAAAGGTAAAATTCTTTAACGTTACAATTCTCAAACAATCATGAAAATTTAATTGAAACATACAGCTCCTCGTGGTTATGAGGATTGTGTAAAGTAGTATTTGGTGTCCATGTACACTTGGATTTTTCACTACCAATCTCAGACATTTTTACTTCAAACTAATATAAAAATTTGTGATCAAACTTTTACGACGGCCAAGTTTTTAAATAATAAGAAAAGGCGCTGAGCAAACGCAAAGCTCGAAAATACCATACATGCATATTTAAAAAGTTTATTGGATGATAAATCAGATAGCCTACGCTTGTATGTATATATTAAAATGGCACGTTATCATCCAACTCTCCACAATCCAGAATTTTACAGGATTCTAATTGCGGAGAATGCTACGGAGTTCGAACTTGAGTCATTGACTTTTTTTCCCGATAAACTTATTTTGTGATGTGTTTAAGCCACAAATGGAGTTATGAACAAGCCATAGATTTCTTTATTAGTTCATGAAGAAGTAGCTGGTCGTTGGGTTAATTTAATAATACCATAATTATAAACAAATATGCTTGTGCGTCTGGCCACTAAGAGGCAGGCAGTTAATCTTGTACGTTAGAATAATCCAGTATGTGCATGTACGAATGAGGCTTTAATCGTCGATCAGAACGAGGGTTAAAAGACTTAGACCTATTTTACCATTTGTTTAACAAGTATTTTCCTTAACGCAAATATACGTGTACAATGTATTAATCCGAAAATACTTTTTGGTATTTATCTTTTTCTGATCATTCTTTAAATTTATATCATTACCAGTATAATTTTAATTAAAAAAAATGTTTATCCTTATAATTTAAGCTAAGTTAAAAAAAATAATTCTGATTTTAATTTAATCTCGTAACTTATAACTTATTGTATAATGTTACAAATGACTTTTCCGAATACAATGACGGCGATTTTACGGTTTTTTTAAATTATTTAAATAGTAATGATGTGACGCAAATTTGATGTGACGCGCTCGCACCATAACACACATAACACAATAAAATGATGGTTTCTGTGCTTGAAAATTTATTACTTTTTTATATACTGTACGTACGTATGTTAATTTGACTTACCCACTATATCGATATTATTAATTTTTGCTTCATGTGTT